GCTGTGAGTATCCATGACGTCACACTTGCAACTTCAACACGATCGTGAACTGAACCTTAAAGTAAAAAGGTTCTCAAACTTATTTGTTTGTATTATGAGCGCTCAACTAGAATGGTATTCAATTTATATCCAATAAATCAGAAACATTTTGTAGTTGAGGAAAGCAGTAAGTGCCACGACCCAGTTGTCACTACCCCAAAGTGGCACTTAATTTTTAATTTATTGACGTGTGTGTTCTATTATGTTTTCTTTGTGACTTTCTTTGAATTCTGGGAAGTTATTGAACACTGATCTACTCTGAAACGGTTGTGCATTACTTGCCTCGCGTGACGCGCACGGTAAGTCCGAGCCGCGCCGATCGACAAGGTACGCCCGTGCTGGCGAGAGAGGTCCTTCTGAATCACCAGGTGTTGCTAATCTCTTGCCTATCTGTTCAGAAAATTAAATGACCGGTGCAACCACTAAACTACAGGTTGCACAGACATTCAGGATATCAAGAGCATTTTTCGTACATGATTATATCTAAAAATAATTGTTAGAGTAGTTTTTGAGAACGTTTTGTTTGAGAAGTTTTCAAGGGGGGGATTTTTTTAAAGCTTCACCCACAGTCTTCTGATATGTTAACAATAGGTCAAAAAGGTCAAATGCTTTTGAATTATTTCAAGTGAAGCGTGTAAATGAAATAATATGCATATTATTTCAAATTATATATATTACTTCATTTAGATCTATTATTGAAGCTGACATCTTGAAGAGGCGATGAAAGAGCCGTTTCTGTAGATTTTTATTTTGTACATCCGTGTTGAGAGTTCTTTCTTGTGGGCGGATATGCTTTCGGAAAGGGCCACCCTCGCAGTGGACGTGCGAGTGAATGAGCTGTGCATCCGCGTGTTGCAGCATCAGCCTGGAGGAGAGCGCGGCGCGCGAGCAGGCGCTGCGGGCGGCGGCGCGCGAGGCGGAGGTGCTGCGCGCGGAGCTGCAGACGCTGGAGCGCGCGCGCGACGGCCTCCTGCGCGAGAACCGGTGAGTCCCGGTGCGCCTGCCCCGCTGCATCCCGCTCAAGTCCCCTTTTACTCTCCGCTGCATCCCGCTTAGTCCCCTTTCACTCTCCGCTGCATCCCGCTCAAGTCCCCTTTCACTCTCCGCTGCATCCCGCTCAGTCCCCTTTGACTTGTGGGTGCCTCAGAGGGCGGAGCCCCATTGCGTCCCGCTTAGTCCCCTTTCACTTTCCGCTGCCTCGGCAGGCGGAGCCCCGTTGCATCCCGCATAGTGTCCTTTTACTCTGGGCTGCCTCAGAAGGCAAAGCCCGATTGCATCCCGTTTAATCCTCTTTCGCTTTGGGCTGCCTCAGAAGGCACAGTTCGATTGCAACCCGCTTAATATTCTTATCACTTTTGGCTACCGCTGGCGGCGTAAATAGCATGGTTGCATCCCGCAGTCAGCTTGCCCGCACACCCGCGTCCCACTTAATCCCCTTTCACTTTCGACAACTGCAGATAGTTGCAGTCAATTGTATCCCGAAGCCAGGTTACCTGCACGCACTCTTTCCACTTAATCCCTTTTCTCTTTGGACTACCGCAAAGGGAGAGCCTTACTGCATCCCGCTTAATCCCCTTTCACTTGTGGCTGCCTCAGAAGGCAGTACCCGATTGCACGCCGCTTAATCCTCTTTCACTTTTGGCTGCCGTAGAAGACTTGGCGACTGCAGTCAGGTTACTCGTACACCCGCTTCCCACTTAATCCCCTTTCACTTTCGGACTCTGCAGATACTCGCAGCCTGATTGCCTCGAAGGTTGCCCGCACACACTCTTCCCACTTGTTCCCTATTCACTTTGGGTCACCTCAGAAGACAGAGCCCGATTGCATGCCACTTTATCCCACTTCGCTTTTGACTGCTGCAGGAGGTATAATCCAATTGCATCCTGCAGACAGGTTGCCCGTACCCGTGCTTCCCACTTAATCGTCTTATTTTGGGCTTCCGCAGAACGCAGAGCTTGATGGATCCAGCACTCACGTTGCCCGCATGCCCGCTTCGCAGTTTATCCCCTTTAACTTTTGGCGACAATGGAATACATAGCCCGATTGCAACCCGGGCGATATTTAGAGTTTGACCATTACAATGCAAGAATAAAATAAAATGAATAACGTTAAAAAAATGTTCTGTTATTTTCTCATTCATGTTCCTCAAATATGAAAGCGAAAGGACGGTCTTGGAAGCTGATACATGAGCAAGTTCCTCTTGTACTCACGAGGAAAGGTTCTTCTTGTACTCTCTTTCTGTCTCTTTTTCTCTCTCTCTTTTCTCTCTCTCTCTCTCTCTCTCTCTCTCTCTCTCTCTCTGTCTCTCTCTCTGTCTCTCTCTCTCTTTCTCTGGGGGCAGAACAACCAATGGCAGGAACAGTCTGGAGATGTCTCACCCACTCAATTAAAAATATTTTAAAACAATTTTA